AATCTCAAAGTGAGAAGAGTCAGTTCAGCCAGATGCATGCTGGCTTGGGCGCCAGCTCTGCCTTCCCCTTCCCTCAGGTCAAAGAACACACAGAGACACTACAAATCAGCTTTACTTACAAGGAGAACCACTATGCTTCAGAAGTATTTGCTGTTGAATACTGAACATGTACACAGATCTCAGTTGCTTACTGAATTTATCCTGGTTAATCTACTAAACTTACATGAGAAAGAAGGACTTCTTCAGGAATGCCTCAGAAAAAGCAAGTTACATACACAGAGGAACGCTTTGTCTAGCCCAGCCTTCTCATAGCAATCGTAAATGCTTGATGAGCCGTGTTTACACATGCGGAGAAAATGTGAACGGGAACACTGCGTCCATGCAACACACCATTCAATCATAAAGGTTAGCCAGCAGACATTCTTATACATGAAAAAACTCAGGGAAGACAGCACCATCCAGCCAATCAAGAAACAAATCAAAGTAAAAACTTTGGGAATGGAGGCACTACGGTCAAAGGCCTAGTATAAACACTGCATAGATTTAAATATAACATGAAAATTAAACTACAGGATATGATTTAAAAATTGTGAATATCATAAACCCAGACAGTGCAAAAATACTACTACTATCCAAGGTAGAGGGTGATAGGGAAGGATTATGGGAGAAAGTATGAGGGTGCAAATGTACATGTTTTTCAAGCAGAGACAACATGTTCTGAACAATTCCTTCTGTTTTACTTTAGTTTCTTTCATTTGTTGAATTAAAGTAAAATTAAAGATTTCTCTAAAACAAACAAACAAAAATCTACAGTATTCATTTCATAAACCTACTAAGCTTTCTTTTCTTTTTCCCTTATACATAGTAGGATATCAAAAATAATATTTACCTTAATTCTATGATGTTTATTTTTGGGTGATAGGATTTGAGGTGACTTTAAAAACTATTACTTTTTTTTATTCTTACATTTTAAATCATTTATAAATGAGCGTATGACATTCATACTTCTTCAAAAACAAGAGAATAGATTTTCTTTATAAAAAAATATGGATACAAATATGCCATGATGTTAATTAGTGTTGATTATGGGTAGCAGGAATAGAGGTATTTTCCTCTTTGTACTATTTTGTATAGTTGAGGAATAAATGGGAGATAAAAACTGGATTTAGTATAGACTACTGTGATAGATGTAAGATGGCCTCAAAATCTATGCCATTCCTCCCACTGAGGGAATGGTCACTGTTTCTCCTCTCCTTGATTCTGAGCTAGAGTATGACCTATCTTAATCAACAGAATGTGGTGGAAGCGACTCTGTGAATCTTGCTAGGGCAGGGCTTAATGGAAATGCAGGTTCTGCTTTTACCCCTTTTAATTATTTCCCTTTGACATCAGCTGCTAAGTGAAAAATCTAATTAATTGGTTAGAGAGAAAGCTCATATGGAGAGGGCCTGGAACCGGCTCAGACATTCCAACCCCAGCCAAGCTTTCTGCTGAATGTAACCTCATGAAGCACCCCAGCAAATGCCACACATTGAGCAGATGAACCACCCAGCTGATCCCTGCCCAAATTTCTGATCCAAAGAATTATGGGCAGATAGTAGTTGCTTTAAACCACCAAGTTTTGGGGTACGCAGTGGTGAAAATTCTTTTGAAAGGTGTGACTTTGAATGTAAAGAGTGAGCTAAGGCAGTAAATAAGTGACAAAGAAGATTTTTTGCTCTTGAGTTTTAAAAGATAGGGTATTATAGCATAAAGTATCTACTCTTATGAATTTTGTTTGTTTGTATAACTCTTTACACTAAAGGAATTCTATTCTGTAAAAGACCTTACTTCATCTGTTGTTTCTTGGACAGTGAGGATCATGCCTGCTGTTAGTCTCACCTACGACTATTCCCATAATGTTCAATGGGTTTCTTCAGGCTGGTAGCTTTTCCCATTTTACCAAACAATTTTTATTGCTTCTCATTGCAAAAGTGCTGTTATAATTTAAGTACAGAAAAGATAATAAATTCTACCACTCAGAGATATCCACTAGTAAAATTCTGATATAATTGTAGTCTTTTTTCTCTTGAGTTAAACTTTTGTTTTGCAAAACGAGCTCACGTCTATGTTTTGTAATGTGCATTTTCATTGAAAAACATCTTGTGAACATTTTCAATATTCTTAAATATTCTCTCCAACATCATTTCCAATAGTGCAGAGATTTCAGTGTATTTGCTATAGTTAAAAATATGGAAAGAATATAGAGAATGCTGGTGTCACAGGTACCTGTCACATAAGAGGATCTGAATAAATAACTATTGGCTGAAAGGATGAAAGCCAGAACAAGCGTCTTTTTGATTAGCTAAATCTTAGTGCGATTATTAATTGCCACCTTTGGGCAAACTCTGAAAATGGGTCAAAGGCTAGGCACATCTCTCAGGCAATTTAATAATGAATGACAGGTATTGCCAAATTATCCTCGAGAAATGTTTTATCAAGTTATATTGCACCTGACTGGTGGGTCCTTTACGTGGATTTTAGTATACTGCACCTTTTCTCTAGAATCACTTTAATGATTTATTTGCAGAAGCATTATTATAAGCTCTGACAGAATGAGTACTAGGTTTACTCTCTGTCTCCATTCTTGATCACCAGCTTGAAAGAGCTCAGTTCATCATCAACCCAGAAGTGGAGTGAAGTATGTTTCACAGTTACTTACGGGACTATTGAACATATCTGCAGACAAATGCATTTGGTCCCAGAAAATCAAGCTTCATAGTGGCTGTGCCTCTCTTTTAGTATCAATATCTATCCATGTACCTATATCTACATGTACAAAACACTTAAATATAATCAGAATGTCCAAATCAAACAACTGTTGCAAAAATGTTATATCATTTGTGCAGAGAGAAGAATAAAATGGGAATATCCAGGTTCATTTTGGCACTTGGTCATTTGACTCATTTTCACAGACAGGATGTAGGACACTGGGGTATGGTATAACAGTTAATAGTTGAGGCTCTCCAGAAAGACAGACTGCGGCTTGAAACTGCCTCTGCCAATTGTCCATCAGGATGATCTTGGGCTTGTTATTTAACCTCATGCTTTCGGGATGATAGAAATACCTTCCTCATGAAGATTACCATAAGATTTAAATGAGATAATGGAACAAGAGGTGAATGAAAATGTTTGGCAGAGCCTGGTACAAAGTACATGTTGAGTAAATATCAGCTATTATTTGCATTATTTTTTGTAATATGCTCTTACAAAAAACAGCCAAGGCAACGAACGTTAATGAGTTAATTACCTTAGCAACTTTAATGTAGGTTAGCAAAAAAGAAATGTCATTTACTTTATGTATAATCTAAGTGAGTGACTCAAAACTTAGCTATATCTTACCTATACTGTAATTTTGATTTTTTATTTTCAGGTAACATATGATACATATGTTTTTGTATATATTGTAAAACTGTGAGAATTAACTAAATTATTAAATAATTTTAAAATTAAATAATTAAAACTAATAATTAGTTTAAAGTGGACAATTATACTAATTATAATTCTTTCAAGATTTTTAAAATCAAGAAACAATACTAGAACTACGTTGTTAGCAGTAAACTTACATTTTCCATTTTTGCTTATATTGAGATTTGATTGTTCATTTAAAATTTGAATATTACCTACCACTTGGTACTTGGACATAAAGTGAAAAATAAATCCACTTAATATAGAAATTTTATAGAACTAAAACAAGTTTTAAAAATATGCAACGCAGTTTCTGTGAAGCAAATCAGTTACACAGATCAATGGGGCACTTCCTGTGCGTTTGTAAATGATAAAAAACTTGAAAGATGTTTTTAAACCACTAGAATATGAAAAAAAATCTTTTTTTTTGTCCATAACACAGGTAGGGGAAATAAGCTCACAGGTTGAAATATGCAGAGAAAATGTTATTAACAAGTAAGTCCTCACTAGTAAGGTGAGGAGGATGGATGTAATGGCCTTGAAGGTTTTGTCCATATCTTAAGGCTTTTTATTCTATCTAGTGTTGTCTGAGCTTTAAGGGAATATATAAAAAGCGACGGACATTAACACTAACTCTTCCCAACATTACTCAGATTGCCTGCAATAGGCTATAGAAAAAGAAGATGAAGAGGTAAGGCAGGAAAGGGCACCTATTAAAACCCAAATGTTTCTTTTATTGCTCTTTGCTTTGTGTGATTACTCTACACGCTTTAAGTATGGTTATGGCAAACTAAAGTCGCTGAAAAATAATCTTTTGCTGGGAATTCTTTAAAAATGTTTTGTTCTCTCTTAAGCCTCATTTATAAAGGTTTCCAGATGCTTATCCTCACAGATTAAACCCAGCATGATGCAGACCCTTACAATAATATTCACTGCTATGAAGCCAAGAAAAAACTACTTTGAGATCTAAATGCCTATCACCAAAAGAATCAGGGTCCAGGGAATTTTCTGTTGCTATTAAAGGTGTGATTCTCTGAAGTCATTTGGAAACAACCTAGGTTCTCAGCAGCAACACATCTATCCTGTACTGTGTCAAAGCACATCAAATAGTTGGCGTTCCAAGCCTCAAACAGGTTATTTTTCATTATGCGAATGCATAATGAAAGGATGTGGGCAAAGAACAGAATGTAAATTGGATGCTGACTTCTGACTTTAATAGCCAGCAGTACTGGGCTCAAACAGTCATTCTAATTTCAAGAGACAATTCCAAAGTGGTTCTCCAGAGAAAGGAGAGGGTATTTTTAAAATATTTGTTCAATGTGAATGGACTGGGCTTGCCAAAAATGACTTTTTATGCTGGCATGCGATCTCTTAGAGGGAAGTCAGCCTGAGTCACTGGATACATCAAAGGTAGAGTCCAGTGAATGGAATTACTGCAGGCTGTGTGAACAAGCCAGATACCCGCATTCATCTGCCCACTGCTGGGATTTCAGCCCTCCTTTTAATTACATTAAAGCAGCTGGTACCACTGGTTACTGAAGTCTTCAGATTACCTTGATTGCTTGGTCATTATCTCTAATCAGCTGCTTCTTCTCATCTTCAAACTTTTGTATAACATCCTGGAGCCGCCTTTCTGCAGCAAGCTGCTGCCGGCTGTTCTCCTCTTTCAGAGAGGAAATGGTTGTCTGAAGTTCTGCTATGATCTAAAATGAAAACAGCATGCTATAACTTCAAATTCTTCTGGGAGAGGCATCTATTTTATATGTATTTATGCTTAACAAAAGAATGGATTTGGCAAAACTCTATTCCACAAACTAAATATTTTCAATTAACATATCACACACTATAATGCATGAAATTCCACACAATAAAAGACTTTAATAAAACTGTGAATGGTGAACAACTGCTGAACCAAATATACTTGGAAGACGTTTCCACTATAACATTCCACAATATTTACTCATCAGAAGAAAGAACATCTGTGATCTCAAAAATATGAAAAGTGTCAGATTTTATTTTACTGAGAAATACACTTATTAGAATGAGAAAAGCTATTCTGCTTTTCATAATGCTTTGAAGTGTAATAACCAAAGAAAAAAATGAACAGAGTTTATTCTTCAGTCACCTAATTCTAAGCAATAATTTTTGAGAATAGAGTAATGTTTGTGTATTGTGTTTAACACTTTAAGTTCTTATGTCATTTACTACTGTGAGACAAGTATTATTGTGCATCTTTTATTTCTGATTTTTATTTATTTATTTTTGAGATGGAGTTTTGCTCTTGTTGCCTAGGCTGGAGTGCAGTGGTACAATCTTGGGCTCACTGCAACCTCCGCTTCCTGGGTTCAAGTGATTCTCCTGCTTCAGTCTCTCCAGTAGCTGGGATTACAGAGGTACCTGCCACCACATCCAGCTAATTTTTTGTATTTTTAGTACAGACAGGGTTTCATCATGTTGGCCAGGCTGGTCTTGAACTCCTGACCTCAGGTGATTCACCTGCCTCAGCCTCCCAAAGTGCTAGAATTACAGGCATGAGCCACCAGGCTAGGCTTGCCTATCTTTTATAAATGAGGATGCAGAGGCATGGAAAGAGGCCAAATATCTTACATTGTTGACATCCAACTAAGGAGACAGGCCATCAGACCAATCACTGCACTAATTGGGTCTTTTAACCAGCCAACTTTATCTTTCTTTAAGATACGTTTTTGGTATTGCAGAGAAGTTTATACTTCCAAGTGGGTTGTTTTCTTCCTAACTCATGGATAATTATTTTGCTTTACATGATGCCATTTTCATTCCCTCCTCTAGTATTCCTTACATTTAAGAATCTGTTGTCTCCCAGACAGGGTTCTTCCAGCTTCTCAAATTATCCATCTGATGAGAAACTTTTATATTTAATTGGCCTTCTGAGAGCATTGTCCTTCCTTTGGTTTGGATGTATTCATTTCCTTGCAAATTCAATAGTGATGACTTTTTAAAAGCAGGAAATAGTTGTTTCTTCTAATAAAAGAAACAACATTAGACCATGTTCAAATATAATTCTTTTGGTTCTAAGCCGGGGGGAGGGCAGTTGGTGAGAAATACTGGACAAGGCATCTTTCTTGAGCTCAGGTTTTCCACCTATTTTGTGGTGATGAAACTAGATTATAGAATTATAAGGCAATAAATAGAAACTGTCTGAAGCCAAATGCTATAGAAATACTAGTTGTTACTACTGACATAAATAGTAGCATCTTGACAATAAAATATGGAGTATTTATGCTTTGAGAAGCGAGCAAATTCACTGTGCCAAAGCTTGACATTTAGAATTTGTCCATAATCAAATATTTAGCCAACTGTGAAATGACAAAATAGATAATAGCAGTATGCCAATATTATTAAATGCAAACTTGAAACTTCTGCTGTGAGTGGAGGCCTTCATTTACTGAGAATGAAGATGTTTTCATCCATTTTCTGAATTGTGATTAAATATTGTTTCCATTCTGACATCAATTCAATTAATTCTCATAGTAAATGAGTAAATTCTCACAGTAAAAAGCACTTCCGTGAAACAGGAAAGATTAAATTCTCATAGTAAATGTCAAAAATTGATGCACAGAACAATGAACTCCCAGTCACAGAGCCAGAGGAGCCGGGAATAAAAAGAGCCAGATATGCTTGGCCTAGCATAAAATTGAAGATTGATCTTTTATGAGAACTTGGGGCCAAACAGTAAAAAACAACTTACTATTTCAATGTTTTAAGCTGAGTAAACTACGACTTTGTAGAGTGGGTTTAATTCTGGAGAGAGAAGGAGGGCAAGAGAGAGAGTGAGAGAGACAGGGTGTGTGCGTGTGTTTAGCTCTGTGCAGTTTTAACACATGTATGGATTCCTATATCCACAACTGCAGTCATGTGATGTATTTTTAAAGTACAAAGTAATGTTTTCTTTAAAAAGTACTAAGATTGAGACTAGCTTGTAGCTGACCAAAGAATAAAGATAAAAAATATTCTGGGATACTTCAAATGATCAAAGGGCATGGAACAGGGGCCTTTCTCATTTTCAGAAGATTTAGGACAAAATAAATTCAGGTTTTGAGGTGGGCAGATCACCTGAAGCCAGGAGTTCAAGATCAGCCTGGCCAACATGGCGAAACCCCATCTCTATTAAAAATGCAAAAAATTAGCTGGGTGTAGTGACGCATGCTTGTAATCCCAGCTACTTGGGAGGCTGAGGCTGGAGAACCACTTGAACTCGGGAAGTAGAGGCTGCAGTGAGCCAAGATTGCACCATTTTGCTCCAGCCTGGGCAACAAGAGTGAAACTCCATCTCAAAAAGAAAAAAACTGCAGGTTTTGGAAGGGACTACAAGTCCAGGATGTTCTAAGAAGGACATGCTTGCTTTTATGTGGAAAATAAAACATTACATTCTTTGGGGGAATAAGGAGAGATTCCTTTGGGGGAAATACTGAGACTATTTTTGGAAAGCTATTTTTAAAACCTAGGAAGGTGATATAAAAGGGAGAATGTTAAAACACTTCAGGTGAAACAACTTGGCTAGATAAATAGATAAATTCTTTGGTTGAACAGACTCACAGATGATACGGCTATAGAGCAGTAACTAAAATAAGGATAATTTAAAAAACAAGATTTAATACTTTAAGACTGAGAAATAATCATAATAATCAGATTAACATGCTTCAGGTAAGGAACAAAACTCTCCAGGTTGTAGACCTAGAGTGTAAGAAAATGGACTACTTTCTTCTTCGCTCAGAGTATATAATAACTGGCACTCAGTTATTAAGTAGAACTATAATCACGGTAAGCAATAAAAAACCATCACTTGGCAAATTGTATTCAGATAATCTACCCTTCCTGCAGAATAATAATGTTAACATTTCTAAGAAAAAATGAAAGCTAATATATATAATCATAATCAAAACCCTCCAGTTTTGATTGAATCATAATTAAAAACCATAGAATAAAATGCTACCACTCAGCTAAAATGTTTATACTTCATTAGCTTCAAACAAAGAAGTGGATTAGAGCATTTTCATATAGCTATTAAAAATTATATTTTGGGAAACAAAAGGAGAGCTATTTTGAGCTGATGCTGTAAGCAACGAACCCATGAAAGTCATAATGGTTAATAATTGTTAAGCAATTAACGCTTTGGGAAAATGTTAGTGGTCTTAAAAAAAAGAGCAGGATCCTAAATAAGTGTTAGAATTTCACCTTCAACTCATTCTATTGTTTTTCAGATTGTAGTACAGTTTGAGAGTTTTATAAAACTCTTCTTTAAAATATAATACAATAGAGAAGACAAACTTAGGAAGGCTTAGGAAGGTTAGGTGAATGCTGAAGCTCCTCATAAAATAAGTGGATGCCCTGTGCATTCTGGGTTGGCCCCTAGGAGGCTGGCATAAAGATGGGCACAGGGTCACGTGGAATATTCCCAGGTACTAATATGCATCAGGTGTTGGGTAGTAAGTGTGGGGCAGTGGTAGGAGACACCAGTCCCTTGGTAGCAGGCAGCTCGACTGGCATCCCAACGTCAGTTCTGCCCATGTTTCTAACTATGGACATTCTGACAAAATGGCAGTATCTTTCCTTGAAAAATGGCCACTAGATGACTAGGTTGAGTGGGGAAAATCATATTAATATTGAAGAGACAAGGGTAATATATAATAACTTACTATTTCAATGTTTTAAGTGGAGTAAACTTCAGTATTCACCACTGTGGTGTTTGCATTGTCTCCATTCTTTTGTTAAGATTTAAAAAATGTGATTCTGATGGAAATGATATTTGGGGGTGTGCCCAGAGATGATGCCAACACTGCGGTGATGGTGAGGGTGAGCGCTGCAGATCTCAGAAGGGGGCGCAGATCTCAGAAGGGGGCACAGTTCTCAGGTGTGCCCAGGGTTCAGCGTACATGGTCTATTAGGTCCTAAAGGCTTGATAAAATCATGAAAAGTAAGTAGCTTCCTCTAAAGGAGGAAAACCTTTAAAATATTTTCCAAATTTAATCTGATGCGCTCTGGGGGTACCAACACATTGATTACTAATGCATCCATTTTCTTTTTTTTCAGAGATGGCTTTTTAAAACCCCGACAGAGTTAAGCAATTTGGCTTTTAGTGTTCTTCATCAGCTTAATGCAATACAAGTTAGAGATTCCAACAAACTATCATTTAAATATGAAGAGATCAATCCACAGTCCTGTTGCATAATGCTCATTTAAAAATAATCGGACATGCTTCTCTGAACTGACTGGCATTGTAGACTAAGGTTTCTCAAATACCAGTTCACATATACAAATATTTAGGGGTGGGCAAACAAAACATTATCGATGTAAGGTTCTCATCCTAACTTTTATGAGAAGGATGGACTACCTTTTATTCCATTACACCCTTTCTAAGGTGTTTTGGTGTTGCACTGTTCCTTGATTATTGAAATGACAGTTGTTGCTAGTCAGTTCTTCCTTCTCCTCCTTCAAGTCTTTTCTTGGGAAAACAGGAACCCTATGCCTCTCCAAACTTTTCAAGGAGATTTTATCAACTTGTAAACACCCAAAAACATGGTGTCTGAAGCAATAATCTGTCCCACCTTCCAAACCTTTTTTTGTTCTTCTCTCCCTCCCTTCCTCTTTCTCTATGGCAATTTTAGTGCTGAGACTATAATAACTCACAGTCATTAGGTGCTTTAGTGTGTACTAGGCACTACGCTGAACACATTTTTGGCATTGTTTTACTTAATAGTTAAAACCATCCTTTGAGGTTAGTACTGCCCCCTACTTGACAGATGAGAAAACTGAATTCCAAAGAGGGCAGGTAACTTGCTCAAGGTCACGGAAGTGGTAGGGCTGGTATTCAAATCCAGGGGTGTTGGACTCGAGAGCTCAGGCTTTCTTCTGCTTTCACTTATGTTTAATTTGCTTTAATATCAACTAATCAGGCTTCTTCATACATTCCTTTAGATAAATACTCCTGTTTACACTCTCATTATTTAGGCATTTTTATTAGCTATCTTATATCTCACTCTCGGTCTGCTTCCCCCATTTAACATAAAGCAAAATAAGCAGAATATTATGATACGCTAACTGGGGATTTTTAATGTTTTAATTTAAACTTTAACTTTTGGCCTAAATAGATTCTTTTTTTTAATTGTAAGAATCTTTTTCAGTGGATTAAAAGGATATTTCTCCATGTTCCTTTCTCAAGGAAGGGCTGGAATAATGGCAACCAAGACATAATCATCATTTCTTACATAAACACATAGGACTCTTCATTTGGACAAAGACTTTTTGCTTTTCTAATGGGATGTGAATTAGTAGAATGGAAATTTTAGGCTGGGCATGGTGGCTCATACCTGTAATCCCAGCACTTTGGGAGGCTGAGGTGGGTGGATCATCTGAGGTCAGGAGTTCGAGACCAGCTTGACCAACATGGTGAAGCCCTGTCTCTACTAAAAATACAAAAAATTAGCCAGGCATGGTAGCAGGTGCCTGCAATTCCAGCTACTTAGGAGGCTGAGACAGGAGAATCACTTGAAACCAACCTGGAGGTGGAGATTGTAGTATGTCCAGACTGCACCACTGCACCACTGTACCAGCCTGGGCTACAAGAGCAAAACTCCATCTCAAAAAAAAAAAAAAAAAAAAAACCAGAAAGAAAAAAGCCATTTTATAATTATCACCAAAGTTTTGCCATATTAAAAATGGGCCAGGCTGGTAGTGTTAAGAATTTTCACTTTGAAGTCAGATCCAGACTGGGTGCTGGCTTAGTCACTTGCCAACTTATGTGATCTTATCTCTCTGAATCTCAGTTTTCGCAAATGGAAAAATGGCACCAATAATAGTTCCTAATCCCAGAATTATTGTGAAAGACTGAATGAGTCAACATGGTTAATGCCCCACCAACATTGGATACTATTATTGTTTTGTTGTTACTACTATTATGTGGAATTATGTGGTAGTAAGGTACACAAATTCCAGTTTACTACCAAATACCACCGTGTGTGTGTGTGTGTGTGTGTGTGTATATATATGTATTTATATATATATGAAGACAAGCTGATTTTACCAATCGTTAGATATGATACTTACAAAACCAAATGGATTTACCTACCTGCAAAGTAAAAATAAGTAGTATTTATTTTTTCTAGAATCACTTGTACAACTAAGGAATACTTGGAGTTCCTTAAATGATACCACTAGATATCACTGTAAAAATTTATGCTGAAAAAGTACTCTGAGCATCATATTTCAAGTAGGGACAGGCATTCAATTATTGGCCTTTCTTATACTGAAACTACAATAGTAAGTACAAGTAGCAAGTTGTGGATATAGGGACTTAGAATTCTCTTTTCCCTAAAAGAGTCAACAGTTGAGCTGCAGATGTAGCCTAGAATTATTTGTCATTTTGAATTTTGTTTGAGGCAGCCTTTAGGTACAGCAAAATAGGATATTACAAAAAAAGCACAGCTAGTGCCAAACTGCACAGGCTGGTTTTACAACATCCGCGCGTGTGTGTGTGTGTGTGTGTGTGTGTGTGTGTGCATGTGTGTGTTGTTTCAAATGGTTAAATATGCCTAATTTTTCTTGACTTTAATGACTGAAATATTAAAACCATATTGTTTATTTGTATACCCAGAAAAATATGATGCAATTCCACAAAAAAACTGAAAAGAATGAAGTTTAACTTGAAAGTACAAAGGCTTTTGTTGGGGAGGGATAACATGGGGAGAAATGCCAGATATAGGTGATGGGGAGGAAGGCAGCAAATCACACTGCCATGTATGTACCTATGCAACAATCTTGCACGTTCTTCACATGTACCCTAAAACCTAAAATGCAATAAAATATATATTTAAAAAAAAAGAAAAAAAAAGAATAAAAGTCTCTGTGCCAGCAAAAAAAAAAAAAAAAAAAGAAAAAGAAAAAGAAAAAAAAGAAAGTACAAAGGCCTTTATGTGGAGGTTTCATTTTTGTTTTGGGTTTTACTTTGTTTTGTTTCTTTTCATGTTGCTTACCTGTGACGATTTGGCAAGCTTCTGAGTGTATTCCTTCTCAATCTGCTTCAGCCTGCTGTTGGCCTGAAAAACACATGTACATGAACACATACACAGTGACCTGTGAGCTTGGTATCTCTTCACATGTCTATCACCAGGCAGCTGGGATGCCTGCCAGCTGCGCCACCCTTCTGGGGCAGTCAGAAAACCACATGGCTTGTCTTTGATGTTACGCCAACTATTCATCACATAAAAAGCAAAAAAAAAAAAAATCTCTTCTGCCAATTATTAGACAAACATAAGACTTCTGTGGATAGAAAAAGAAAGGGAGAAAGAGAGATAGAAATAGACACAGCAAAAGTATGAAGGCTCAGAAGGTAAAGTAAGGGAAAGGGAGAAGAAACAAGAGGGGCAAGGAAAAGGAAGGCGTAAGTGGAGGAAGAGGAAAGGAAGGTACATTTAATAATTTTCCACCTTAATTGAAAAATAAAAAATAGATGCTCCCGGGCAAAGGAGATATGGGATTTTGAGACTCACTGAGCAAAGACTTGAGCCCCGACTCTGCCAAATGCATAAGAGCTAATTTTTACAGTGACAAATATGTCTAAATCAAACAAGTTTTATGTCCTGGAAATATGGTGGCCTTTCCAGAATCAGTCCACATTGCTTAAAGCTTGGTTATCCCCTCTGCCACTCAAGTGCCAATTCTTTTTTTGTGATCTGCTTTCTGCTCTTGGGAAAATTTTGGAATCTTTATTTCATCATCAGTGTTTAAAAATATCACAGTAATGTGTCCTAGACCGGGTCTTTTTCCCAACAATCCTGCAGGCACTAATGAGGCTCTTTCAGTCTAAACTTGTGTCCTTCACTACTGGGAAAGGTTGGTCATTACTCTCATAATTTCCTCTTGTCTCTCTGTCTGTCTGTCTGTCTGTCTCTCTCCCTGTGTATGTCCCTCCCTGCAACTCTGATTTTGTACCTCTCAGGTTTAATATTTCTTTTTCTTATTGTTTCTATGTTCCATTTCTTTGTCTTTTTGATTATTTTCAGAATTTCCTCAACTTTTACCTAAAACTTTATATTCTGCCATCATATTCATAATTTCCAACAGCTCCTTTATGTTCTCTGAACAGCTTCATCATCATCATCCCTCTTTTTACAGATGGGGAAACTAAGGCAGATGGTTAAAAATGCCTAATTTTTCTTGTTTTTTAATGGCTGAAATATTAAAACCATATTGTTTATTTGTATACCCATAAAAATATGATATAGTTCCACAAGAATAGGAAGATTCTATTCTTAGGTGGTTAGGGCATCTATTTCTTAGGTGGTTAGGGGGATAAGTAACTTGCCCAGCATCACACAGCTAAGAAGTGATGAAGCCAGAACACAAACTCACACTTTGGCTGCACAGCACAGATGCTCCATCAGCCAGAGCACCGCATCATGTCTTGCAGTATAGTCCTGACAGCCATCTCTATCTGTCTGTCTGTCTGTCTATCTATCATCTATCTATCTACCTACCTACCTGTCTACCTACCTACCTATCTGTCTATGTATCTATGTATCTATCTACCCACCTACCTACCTATTATATCCATCCATCCATCATCTATCTATAACTATCTATCTACATACATATTTTATTTTTTTCTGCTCAGTAGCATGTGGTTTCTTCTTTTTTTGTGTGTGAGTTCCCTTTATTTACTTTCACTTGTCTGTTTTCGTCTTTGTCTTTCACGTTAGACACTTTCCTCAAATGTCTGGTGATCTTTGGTGTCCTTTCTTATTCAAAACGAGGCCTCCCGGGTATATTACAAAGGAGCTTGGACTCTCTCATGTCAGCATCTGACTGGATTTCCCTCTTGGACCAGTTTGCCCAGAGCTGCATCCTCCAGTTTCCTGCCAGGCAGCACAAATCAGGTGGCCAATGTTTTCAGAAGGGCGTTGAGGTGTTCCGGAGAGTGACTTGCGCAAGGCCAGCCTCACATTTCCCCTCAGCTGTACCTGAGCCCCTTTCCCATTCCATCTCTCCAGAGAGCAAACCAAGGGTAGGGATGGGGGAGACTTGAGATAAAATCTGGGTCATCTGTTCCAAAATCAGACTTTCAACCAATCTTCCACTTCTTCACTCTTCCCCATACCCAGTCTCTCTAATTTCTGAATCTTCCCAAAGTTCTACCACAGGAAAGATCCTGGTGCTTCTAACTGGCATCCTTCAAGCCTCCCTTCCCCCAGAAACTGTTTGGTTTTTAGGATTCCTAGTTCTGCTAAGTCCATTTCAGGCCCAGCCTTTTTCAAGTTCTCAATGCTATTGATTTCTTATGTGTATTGTTGACTCTTATTTTCTTTGCAAAAAAAAAAATTATAGTCTAAAATCTTGATGCCTAAGTCCCATCTGCAGAGGTTCTGATTTAATTCATGTGGGCTACAGGTTGAGCACTAGGATTTTTAAAAATCTCTGCTGTTATTTCAAATGTTCAGCCAAGGTTAAAGACCACTGGTTCATGCCTTTTTCAATTTCATTACTTTCATTTTGACGGGACTTCCTCAGGGAGTGGAGATAAAAACAGGTGAGTTCTATCTGCTGCCTTTAATTGGAAGCAAATGATTTGTTTATTTTCATATCACAAAGAGGATGAGGAAGCAATCCCATCCTCACAGCCTGCTCCAGGCTCATCTCTACAGTAGTACTAAGGCTGAATTGGTCACTGTTGGTTAACTTGTCTCTCTCCCACTAGGTTATGAGATCCTAGAAGGTAGCTCCTAGCCCCTAACATAGCATTTGGGGCATAACTGTTCATCTAATGAATGAGTGAAGGCCGTGCAAGCCCTTTTCCTCTTCTATAGCCCCAGTCCATACCTCTGAAGTTTTCTTTTCATAATCATTTTTTTTAATGGTCTTAAGTTAAAAACCAATTTTTTGGAGTTTATTACATAAATCTCTTTGTATCTATAATCCCATCGAGTACACAGGGTAGTTTGTTTTTTTTTCCAAGAGTAGAGAGGGCATGTGACTATTGCTGTTTTTCTATTAAGTCATCAGACTCGACTCTAGCTCTATTATGATTAAAGCCACTCTCCATAAGAATTAGGGCTACTCTGAACCTCCTGAAGTTTATTTGTCTTTGCTCACATTCTGTCACTATTTTTTTTTTTTTGGTCACAAAATGCTTAATAAAGTATTTGTTGCCTTTAAACTAAACACTTATAGAGCTCATACCATGTCCCAGGCACTGTTCTAAGTGCTTTAAAAATATTTACCCACTAGTAATTAATTAGTTAATTCTAGTATCATAAAGATGAGGTTACTTTTCCTTGAAAATGCTAGAGTCACAGATGATAGTTAGTGCAGGAAAGCCTGTGTCTTGGTGGCAGCTACTCTTCATGAACTTATGGACAGCCCCCAAATCTCACAAACCCAGTGAAGCTCCTTTATAACTAGATATCTAATTCATTCATCCACTCTAGGCAGCTGGACAATAGCAACGAACAAAACAGCCAAGAATCCCTCTTTATTTTTATGAAACATCTAGAAAGTAAACAAAAAAACTTTGAAAAGTAATATGGTACAAGTGCTATGAAGAAATATTAATCAGGAAAGAGAGAGAGGAAGTGATAAAAGTTAGGGGGTACTTTATGATTTTAAAAATACTGGCCGGGGCCGGGCGCGGTGGCTCAAGCCTGTGGTCCCAGCACTTTGGGAGGCCGAGGCGGGTGGATCACGAGGTCAAGAGATCGAGACCATCCTGGTCAACATGGTGAAACCC